GCATAGATGGGCAAGTATGAAGAGAGGGAAGAATGATTTGCCAGTAATGGTGCCACATCACAGCCCATCTAAACCTCACTGGTGCTGCCTTTTAGGCTTAACACTTCAAAACCCTGCAAAGTGCAGTTTCCCCCTGTTTCCAAGGCGCTCTGCTCAGCTTTAGCTTTAGTTTTTAGAGAACACCTCTCTCTTTGTAAGGAAAAGATGAGCAGAAGGCATGACACATTCAGGCAGGAAAGAACCAGAGTTGTCATTAGTGGGGTCTGAGCTTTGCAGCCTGTTTCATACTGCAGGGTAATGCATTGCAGATGTCTGAAATAGCCATCAGGAGTTATCTTCACGCTTGGAACAAGACCAGCAAAAAGCAAGCCATTCATACAGAGTACAGAGTTGCCTTACTTGATACAGAATTGACTCAGTTGAATCCCCATCACCCCCTTTGCTTTTATATCAGGTATTTGAGGTTTTAGAGGGTTTTCATTCCTAAATCAGCTTCCTTTTAAGCTGTTTTGCACAGCAAAGAACAAAGAATACTTAGTGCTCTCATAGCACTTTGCATCCGGAACCTGAGAGCTTTGTAGGATGTGCAAGATGCATTTTCCTTGCACATCTAATAGCAAAAGGGAAAGGTTAGGAAACTTGCTGAGGCTGACAAGCTCACCCAAAGGACTGTGCCTGAGTGTCCCTCCATGTGCCATTGCCTCATAGCTATCATTTCAGCTGTCAAAATGAGCATGGTGTCAGAGACTTGGAATGATAATGGGAATTCAAGATCAAATAACAACACGTACAGCGGAGGAGATGGATTATGTGCTTGGTTGGGGGATAGCGGCACCGAGCTGGTGGTCACGGTGTCCTGATTGTATTCACTCTGTATAACTTGGGTTTATTCATCCTGTTTTAGCCACACGTCGCAGCACAAAGGGTAGTAAATAGGAGGGGAAAATTGCTCATTTTAGCCTCCATGCAGCTCCCTCTTAAAAAAGCAGGGCATAAAACAATCCATCATCATCTGCAAGTGAAATCCGCATAGCCGGGGCCTGAAGGGAAGGTTAGCAATGGAGGATTTCATCCAGGTCCCAGTAACCACTTTTCCCTTCCCTCCTTTCTTGTTTTCCACGGGTGACAATTCATGGAATCAAACCCATAGTGCAAACCTGCTCAATTCAGAGCTCACGCAGGAGACATCAGAGCCAGGCTCGGGGCTAAGCAGCTATTTCCAAACCACACAGCAGCAAACAAGGAACCAGATCTCCATTCTACCCAGAGCTAAATCCATCTTACTTCCAGTCCCAGTAAATCACTGCTCCAGCTATACCAACTGCACAGAAGAGTTTGTAACGCCCTTCCTAACACATTGCTGTCACCATAATACCTTGAAACACTACAAACCTTGGTGGGGAAGCAGATGACAGCATCACCTGAGATGTTTGCCCATCTCTAACCACCGGGATCCCATCTTTCACCCATCTTCTTAGTGGAGCTGCAGCCTAATAGATGCAGGCACCAAGAGAAGAATGAACAGGTAAAGCTGGACTTAGGGACAAGGTTTTGCTAGGCTGCTTTGCCAACCCTTCTATGACCACCAGAAGAGCTTTCCCTCATAGAAAGCAGCAGGATGGGGACCAGCAAAGCCAAATGCTCGCTGTGTATTTGCCTTCAGGGGCTGGAGGCACTTCCATGGTACATCCCCAGGACAGTAAGAGCTGCTGCAACCAAACACCCTCAGCTCACAAGGGAGAAAAAGGCCACCTTTGCTGAAGGCTTCACTTTCTCCTCTTCCCTGGCTCTTATCCCGAGTTCAAGTCCTCAGACTGGAGGAAAACCTGACTCACTCCCTATCGCAGGCATCAGTCCTCCATACACGTGGCTTTGGTCTGTGGAAAAAGAACCCGGTTTAATTTTCCAGTGGTTTATGGCCAGATATTCCTGCTGGCAGAGAGAGCTGTGGATTTTTTATGGGGGCCCTTTGCTCCTTACACGTTCGTGTTTTCAGCTCCTTTGGCCTGGAACGACTCCCATTGGAAAGCTGAGCGGCTGCAGCAAGGATGCAGGGCATCGGGGCAGCTCTGTCCCACGCTTTGGTACAGCTTTTGTTCCCTTTCCCCATTCCCTGGACTGTCAGACATCACCCTGGGGATCGAGAGCACCAAGTGCTGTGCCTGGAGCTGAGCTGCTTTCCAAGGAGCCCTCCTGGCACCTTTCCATGTGGCACGAGGAGAAAACACTGCCCAAGGGCATGGCCATGGGGAAGAAAACACTTGTTCAAATGTGCAAGCACCCCCTTGCACTGGTGCTGGAAAACTTGCTTGGTCTGAGGCTCCTGGAGAGCAAACCTGCCTTTTCTAACAAGTCCTGGGGTAATGAATGGGTGGGTTTGATGTTCTTAAAGGTCTTTTCCAACCGAGTTGATCCTGTGGTTCTATAATAAGCCCCCAAGGTTTGCAATAGCTGCACAAGGCCATGAGTGCAGAGCGCAGTATCTATGGCCACCACTCAACACAACATCCACATGCAATAGCATTTACTCCACCTGAAAGCTTCCCCATCAGACAGCAGCCCAGCAAACGTCAAAGCTGAGCTGGCTGGTTGCTCTCTTACAGCTCCATTGGTGCTTCTGGTGATGCCACATGGTGATGCCATGGGCTCACCCCAGCGCCTTGAGGAAGGGATGCTCGAGACATGGGTTTGAGCTGTGCTGTATGTTTGGGATGGGACCAAATCCAAACCCTCACTTCCAATCCAGCTCACCCAAACCATTCCCACTCAGTCAAAGCACTCCAGGCTCCAGCTGGAGTCATTGCCTTGCTGCTGGCTTCAATTTGCTCTCTGCAATAAGCATCCCTGAGCTGTGAGAGCCCAGGCCAGCTTTTTTCCTGGCCATACAGCCCAGGATGTGTTTACCCAGAGCTCGGAAAAACAATTCAGCTTTTATTTTAGCTCAGAGACCATGGGGTCACCTTTAAGCTGAGGGTGGTATAAATAGAGACTAATGGAAAAAGCAATGTACAGGGAGTCAGGGAAGCGTTCTCTCCAGGAGGGAGGAGGAAAGCAAGACCCCATAACCCCGAGCAGACACATATTTAATAGAGCAGGTTAAGAGGGACCGGGGTCAGCCCCATCTGTTCTATCTCCATATGGATGCGGGCAAGGTCACAGCTGCCTCCACCTACGTCTCTATGTATATTCATGCCATGGGATGCAGCAGCAGGCAGAGCAGAGCAGGGGCTGGAGCACCTCCCATGTGAAGCCAGGCTGAGATCATTGTTCAGCCTGGAGACCTCAGAGCAGCTTCCAGCGTCTTCCAGGGGCTCTTCATCAGGGACTGTAGCGACAGGACAAGGGGTGATGGGCTCTTAACTTAAAGAGAAGGGGTTGAGGTTGGATATAAGGAATCAGTTCTTCCCTGTGAAAGCAGTGAGGCCCTGGAACAGGCTGACCAAGGGAGATGGGAATGCTCCATCCCTGGCAGTGTTCAAAGCCAGGTTGGACAGGGCTTGGAGCTGCTCTAGTGGAAGGTGTCCCTGCCCGTGGCAGGGGGTTGGAACTGGATGGGCTTTAAGGCCCTTCCAACCCAAACCATCCTGTGATCCTATGATTCAGTATTAGGAGCCTGCATTCCCATGCTTACACTGGCACGAGCTCCTTCACAGCGCTTAGTGCCAAGAGGAACGTGTGGGGAGACGTGCAAAAGCAGGTACCGGGCAGGGGAGCAGCCTCAGGTTGCTTTGATGAGGAGCAGCTCATACACTTGGCCATGGCTCACCGGGAGTCTCCCAGGGCAAAAGGTGGAGGAGAAACCAGCTTAGTCACAGCGCTTTGGAAAGGGGTAACCTCAGAGGGGGAATGGGGCCTCTCTGCCTGGACACATACCCATCAAAGTGGGTCTCTCCAGTTTCCCATCTCATTGCCCCATGCAGGAGGAGAGGAAAGGATCTTATTGTCCATAAGAAAGGGGATAAGGATATAGGAGCATCCTTGTGCAGGTTTAGCTCTGCAGCACTGTGTCTGTACTGTGCCATGGGCTAGAGATGGTGATGTGGGTCCCTAATGTCCCCAAGCCATGTCCGCACGCTACTGAACCCATTCCACCCTTCCCAACACAGTCTAGAGAGTTCTATGGAGCACTTCCAGAGCCTGTTCCACACCACAGACCAGGCTGACACACTGAGCATCACCACGGCTTCATAGAACCATAGAATAGTTAGGGTTGGAAAGGAGCTTAAAATCATCCAGTTCCAACCCCCCTGCCATGGGCAGGGACACCTCACACTAAAGCAGAAGCTTTTCCTCAGCAAAATTAAGAGAAAAAGCAATTTCCCCCATTTTTAAATACTGTTGGAGGCTATTATTGAGGCAAACACCCACAGGAAGCAGCAGTCAATAACTCGATCCCTTCATACACTCTCACAGGAAATTAAAGAGCCATTAGCAGTAAGCACAGCAGAGCAATGCCTGCAGGTCCCAGCTTGGACTGGATGGAGCCCTGCTCCATCACACCGATCACATCACACCTATGGATGGTCCCTTCCCAAGGAAGGCTTTCAAATGCCCTGTGCAAGTCAGAAGGAGGCAGGAGATGGGTGAAAGCCTTGGAGTTCAGCAGCAGAAAGCAGAACCCATGAGCGAGCTCTGGGTTTGCTGTCTCCAGGAGGGGAAAACAAACATCACACAAGGGCAAGGAACCGGCTTTATCCTTGTGAGGCAAAGTGTTCCCAATGGGATAGGGTCTTTAACACAGAAACACAACGTGGCAAAAAGCAGGGATAATGCACAAAGTGCTAACACCCAAAGTACTAACTTGGTCATGCTGGAAAGCCTGATGTGGTGCTATCAAACCATGGTCTCTGAGCAGGTCCTCTTGGTCCAAAGGCACACAAAGCACAGCAGTAACCATGAGGCTTTTTCCCTGGCACTCAAGGAGAAGCTTCATGCTCCCAACAGAGTGGTTTTCCAAGCCAGCAACAGTTATAGAGGTGTGATGAGACCAAGGTACTCACCGGTTTGGGGCAGTGGATGTACCTAGCGAGGCTGATGATCAAGTCATGAGTGATTGGATCCACCAGGTTTCGAAAGCTGGCATATCGATAGAGGACATCGTCCAGAGAGGTCGACTCCATTCCTAAATCCTATGGGAAACAGGGTAAAGGAGCGATATTAGATGTGCATAGGGAGGAGACAATGAGCCTGAAATTGCAGCAATGGAAACAGAAGGATAAACGATGGGGGCATTTGGGAGGAGCAAAGTGCTGGACTAGATTGCCTGGGGAAGGGGTCGAAGCTTTGCCATTGGAGACGGGTAAGGATGTGCCAGGAACAGTTCAGATGGAGCTGATCCTGCCCTAGGGATGGATCAGACCTCCTGAGGCCCCCTCCAAGACTATTTCCAGTGACTTACAAGCCTTAGTCAGGAATACTGCTTTTCAAAGATGCCCAAAGGAAACTCCATCTCTTTCAGGGGGAGAAACCCTTCTCCTACCTCACAGCAGTGTGGATGTTACCTCCCCAGTTGGGTAGAGCTCAACATTAGGATTAAGCAAACATCAGCCAAGAGCTGAATTTGGCACAGGATCATACGGCATCACCAGCAAACACCATGTGAAGGAGCCACCTCTGGGGTTTGGTAGAAGCAACCCTGCACACGCAGCTCTTGACACACTGGGATCTTTGAGGATCAACCCAAGCTCAGCACCTTCCTGCTTCTCTTTGAGCATCCCAAAGCTGTGGCACTGTTCCCTTCAGCTAAAATCAGAACACAGAGCCAATAGATCAGGGAGTTGCTGCTCCTCTCTCCTGGGAGAACTTAGGTTTCTCTCCTCCCTCCTGGCACGCATCCTTCTGTGCACAGATGTCTTTCTCAGCTGCTCCTCAACCTCCCTGCCACACCAGCATTGTCTCTTTTCCACCACATGTCCTATTTCCAAGCCGCTCGAGGCTGAACCTCATCCGAGGCCAAGTGATGAGCTCATCTGCAGGTCAATAACTTCACACCAGTTCTGCTGTCGGCAGCACATCACCAGTCACTGCCTTCGGAGTAAACGCCCAGCATCTGGCTCCAGTCACTTGGCCTTTTGCAGCACGTTCCCTTTTCCTAGGGGAGCTTTACCTGGCCAACGAGGGCCATTTGCAAATAGGAAGGGTAGAAGGGTTTGAAATGCTGGTATTTATGAGCTGTGCCTCTCTTGGTGTAGGCTGGGAAGGTGTTTTCCTATGGTGCACCCCAACCCCTGCACCACGCTGAGAGGACATTTCAGAGCAGCGTATTCAAAGGCACATTTACCCCTTGCTAATGCAGGATTTGGGATTAACAGCACAAAACAAGCAGAGAAAGGAATGCAGAAGTGACTGAGCACAACCCAAAGGCTGCGAGTGGATCAACTTGAGCTGATCCTGTCTTACCACACTGTGCCCCTCGCTGAGCACATCAGCTAAAGCCTTGCTTTGCAGGCAAGATTAAGGAGTAGGAAGAGTTCATCACTTTGGGGCTGAGAGGGAAAGCAGAGTCTCATTCAAGTCCTTTTGCTGTGCATCCTCCCTGCCGTCACCAGTGACCTCCCTGCAATCTGATTTGTTTCCAGCTTTAAGAGGCTGAGAGGAGGCCAGACCACTCAGCAAGTCCTTGGGGATGGCTTACCCACTGGAAGCAAAGCTGCTTTTACAGCAGTGCATTACCTTGTGGGTTACAAGCACCAACTGTGATCTGAAGCACTAATACACTCTGAGTATGGCCACTTCTCCTGCCACCAACTAGTTGCCTTCAGCCTCCAGCAGAAGGAAGCTTCTGTAAAGGTATCAATGCAAAGCTATTTGATTAAAAAAACCCTAAAGAAAACATACATCAAAAAAAAAAAAACCCCAAACAACAAAAAAGTGAAGGAATTGGAAGTTTAAATCAAGGAATTCCAGCAGTAAAATGTAATGCCTTCTTCCATGGCAGCCAGCAAATCAAACTGCCCAGCCACAGCCAGGAAAGGCAGAAGAGAACATCAAACCAGGTGAGAGCCCAGGTAAGGGCAAGTCCTGCTGCCCTGCAGAGCTGATGCTGTGCTAGATGCCCTCTTCAGCCCTCTTCTGCAAACAGCAATCACAGAAACAGCCCTTTCACCCAAAAACCAGCCCATACCAAGAGCTCAGCACTGACTTCCCCAAGACACTACCCATGCAATGCCATTTCCCCAGTCAGAAGGGAAAAACCAGTGCAAGCAAAGCATTTGGGAGCTGTACCCCACCTTATCCTTCCTTGGTGTCAGATAAAACAACCTGTTATTGTCCTTCTGCTGCCTGTTCAACTGCACCACAACAGCCAACAGCTCTGGAAGCTCCAGGTTGGGTTTCCATGAGGTGCACCATGGTGTAATACTCCCCTAAGCCACCAGGAGCCATAAACAGCACAAATCAAACCCATTTGCACCTATTAAGCTATTTATTGCCGCAAATTGAATTGCAATTAGAGGAAAATCCATGTGAGCAGGTTATGTTGCTGCTTCCATTAACAGGGAGCAAAGGCAGTTACAGCTGCCCAAATGAGGTTACTGTGCAAAATGCCACCCCAAGCTCCTGCAATCACGACTGCTCATAAATATCCTGATAGCTGCTATTATGGCCAGCACCTCCTCCAAACCTGCTTCTTATCTCTATTAATAGCCAGGGCAGCCCCATGAATTTCCAAGCAGAGAGGTTGGTGTAATAAAGCATGAAGGAAGAGGAGCATTAATATTGTTTGCAATCAATCATCTGCAGCAACTTATCTGGGCAAAATGACTTCACGAGGTGAGCATTAGCGACGTGGTGGGTAAGGGCAGAGCAGGGGGACAGGCATGTGAGATGTGACTCAAGCACGGTGTGGGGTGCTCAAAGGCTGTTTGGCTTGATGGAGGACACGTTTAGCTGCTCAATCCCCTGAGCCTTGTGAAGGCTGCCCTTGAAAACAAGCAAAGTCTTTCTTGCCTTTCATCTTTAGGATGTTCGACTCCATCGCAAAGCCTCTGATGTCTGCTTGACTTATGGGGTTAGTAAGACACCGTAAAACTTAGTATTTATGGATTTCCCTGCTGCAATTGGGTTCTATACTTGCATGGCTGGCCACGATGCCTAGAAGCAGCCTCTCCCTGTTTTGCACATGATAAGCCCTCCAGCATTTGCTTCACAGCTAATAAATTTGGTACAATGTGGAAGTGCATTGCTGGAAAGGTTATCTGCCTGATGCACTTCCTGCAGCCCAACAGCTCTGGTCGTCCCTGTACACCTCCTATAAACCATCCATTGATATGAGGCAATCAGGGGTTTTATCAGGCTATAAACAGCTTAATTCCTAGCTGGGTGTCCTAAGGAAACAAGGCTGAAATAGTCACACAGTTCATCCATCTCCTCCTCCTCTTCCCCTTTTAAACACAGGAACCAACGGATTGACAGAGGAGTAAAGCATCTGAAAGTGATGAATTTAATGATGTTCCAACAGGTTTTGGGTAAAACCAGGCCTCAACAACACAAAGATGCCCAAGTTTGCCCCTTTGGAGAGGGAAAGCAGCACTCAGCATCCACAGGTGGTTTGGCTGTGATGGGACCAATACATCTGGATGGAGCATCACAGAAGGCACCCTGGGAACCTCCAAACAAACCAACAATTGCTACTGCAAATTCCCACCTCTAATCCACTAGCCTGGCACAAAAGTGGAGTTTAAATATGTGGGATATCTTCTGTTTAGCAGAGTTAATACTGGTTTGGAACCAACAATTGCACATCCAAGCCTGAAGTGAGGGTATAGTTATAGAATACCCAATGGTTCAAGGAAGGAGTAAACATTTCCTTGGCAGATGGACTCAGATAATAAATGGTGGCAGCTTGGACCCCCTCCAGGAGGCTGGAATTAGAGAAACTTGGAGAGGCAGATTAATGGGCAGAGATACGATGCCACCATCCTGATAATAAACAACTGTGACTAAGGGATTTGCAGTAGAAGGCACTGTGTTAGTTTGAAACTGGGAGGCAAATGCAACTGCCCCAAGTGGAGTTTGGCCAGACCACAGCTAACAGGCTTCTTCAGGAAAGTGCTTATGGATATGTAAGGAGAATAGACTCGGCTACCCATCCCATCCTGAGTCACAGAGCCATGGGATCCCAGTATGGAAGAAGTTTGGAAACACTGTCAGGGGAAGGTGTATGACTCCAGGATCTGCTTTGAACAATCCAAACAATTGAGATCCCTCACTGCCTTTAACACAAGCTCACACAGTGTTATTCACACATCCCTTCTAAACCAGCAGGGCCTGCCTGTATCTTGGTCTCCCATCCAAGCCAGGCACCAACCCCAGCCTTGACTGCGCTGTGCTGATGGCTGCCAGCTCCTAACTGCACCCCTTCACCCTGTCACCCCACATGCAAAAAGGACTACATTTCCCTTGCAGAAGATCTCCATTGGAAAACATACCTACAGGGCAGGATACATCTCATCTCCTGTCAGGTAAGGATCCAGACTTGTCACCTAAACTCAGTCTACTGTCAATTCAGACGAAGACTGTGATTCATCCTATTCTAAGGCAGCTGGGCTGAGTCAGTCTCTGGCTGGGGCTGTCTCAATCAGTTATCAGCCAACAAAAGCCCATCTAATCAGTTTATCCTAGACATTTCATGTTTAGGCAACTGGAGCAGGAAAATCCCACTGTCCTCACCTTTGTTTTCCAGCACAGCAAGCGCAGAGCTCTGCATGGCTTTTGTACCCACTCTCCCAGCCAAAGAACAGCCCCATCTGTTCACCCATCAATACCAGTCACATTCTCAAGTTGTGCTTTAGGCCCCCCACTGCTTTGTTGGAGGTAGTTAGGAGCTTAAACAACTCTTGTCCTTGGAAGGTGATGGGGGCATTGAATGCTTCTATGCGTGCATACAGATAATGTACTGCCTTGTGTTCACAAGCACTGAATACAGCATCTTTAGATCAAGTATTTATAGGAACAAAGGGAAAAAAGGCAGAACCAAGATCCCTGCAGGAAAAAGACTTCCAAGTAGAAGACAACGCTGTCAGATGGGGAGGAATCACTCTTCTTCATCATTTCCACTGCCTGTTGGAGACCGCCCCGCTGTCTGGGCACACAGGCAGGGAATGATTCCCAATACAAACCCTGCATTCAC